GCACACAGACTACTTAACTAAGTAAACTTAAAATAAGTGTGCGTGTACATGTACTAAGTGATGTACATACACATGTACCATGCGAACATAACTAAGCCAACATAGTAAAGTTGTGTGCGTACACAGTCAACTTTGTTAAGTTGGCTTAGTTAAGTCGTGTGCATATGCATGTACCAAGTCAACTTAACTTCCGATCCGCCCAACTTGCTAGCAAATACATGCGGACCTAGACAGGCTGGCAAGTTGGACAGATCGGAACCAGATAAGGTTTAACATCAAGAAGTGTAAAGTGCTGCACCTGGGGATGAACAATTCCCTGCATACCTACAGGCTTGGCAACACCAATCTCACCAGTACTATGAATGAAAGAGACCTGGGGGTAATAATTAACCACAGTATAAACATGAGCCAGCAGTACAATGCTGTAGCCAGTGGGGCAAATACTACTTTGGCATACACCAATCGATGCATCTCCAGCAAAACCAAGGAAGTGATTCTTCTGCTTTACTCAGCATTGGTTCTGGGCGCCGCACTTCAACAAGGATGTGGAAAAGCTCAAGAGAGTCCAGAGAAGGACCACCCATATGATCAAAGACTTGCACGGCAAGCCATACGAGGTAAGGCTGAGGGACCTGGGACTCTTCAGCCTGAAGAGAAGGCTGAGAAGGGACTTAGTAGCAGCTTACCACTACATCGGGGCGTACATCAAGGGCTCAGTGAACAACGGTTCATCAGGGCAGCCTTGGTGGGGAAAACCAGAAGCAATGGTCACAAACTCCTGGAGGACCATTTCAGACTCAACATTAAGAAAAACTTCTTCACAGCTAGGGTGTCCAGACTATGGAATAAGCTCCTTCCAGTGGTGGTGCAATTGCCTACCCTGGAAATCTTCAAGAGGAGGCTGGACGGTCACCCTGCTGGGGTCACTTGACCCCAGTTGTCTTTCCTGCTTGGCGCAGGGGGGCTGGACCCAATGATCTTCTGAGGTCCCTTCCAGCCTACATTCTATGAATAACTATGAGTATACACACACAGCCTAGTACATGTGTACGCACATACCCTATGTGTAGAAGCACACTTATTTTAACTTGACTTAGTGCATGTGTATGCACACACACTAATTCAACTTAAATCAGCTTAGTTAAGTTGTGAGCGTACAAACGTACCAAGTCAATATAAGTGTCGGCTAAATTAAGCTGGCTTAGTAGACTTAAGATGAACCAGTACGCACATGTACACACACCTTAACTAAACCCAGTTACGTCAGCTTAGTACATGTGTATGCACACTTATTTTAAGTTGACTTAGTACGTGTGTACACACAAAACTCAACTGAATCTACTTAAAATAAGTCAGCCCAGCTATGCTGGCAGTGTGCACACAGAGGTACTAAGTCAGCCTAAAATTGGTAGGCCTACATAAAACCGCTTAATTCAAGTAAGCTTAATTATGTTACGGGAATACACACACATTAATCAAAGTAAGCCAGCCTAGTTAAGTCATGTGCATACACACATACTAAAAGTCCACTTAAAATAAGCCATCTCCGTTATGCTGCCTCTGTATCCATGTACACACCCCTTTGTTTTCAACTGTATAACTGCCTGGGCTCCAACATAGCCAAATCTGGACATTGTATATTCCACTCCCTCCTCCCAAAACACACCCCATTCTTATTTTTTTGAGAGAGAGAACACAAAAGCCAAATCCTTAACACACTTGATCCCCTTCCATGATAAATTTCAAGGCCTTGGTCCATAGCACTGAAGTGCTAGGTTCACAACAAATTTATTTTAATGTAAAAAAGACAATGTATTTCCCCTAATCTCTCTCAGAAAAGGCTAAAATATGTTGGTGACACTTTCCAACAAAATCCAGGCCAAGGCAGATGCACAGAATGGAAAATTCCAGCTCAGTTAATACTGTTTACCATATAGCTTTGAATCCTACTCCTGTCTCTAGGCTTTACTAATTCTCATTCTGAAAGACATTTCAGTGGTGAGCTGGTAACAAATATCCTCTTTGTAATAAAAATGATGATGTTTAAATGGATAAATTAATGCAACAGATATCTGTATTCTTGCAAGAACAGGGATTGTACAGAGTACTCTGTTTAAGTGCATGATCTGGGACTGAAAAATAGCTAGGCACTACTTGGAGCATACACCTATCCAAACTGAATGTCAACAATGCTCATTAAGTACACAGTGCTGTCACTGATGAGGTAGCACCTGCCTTTAAACATGTGCCACAACAAATATGAGCCGCCTCTGCGTGTGCCAAGCAGATCAAGAAAAGGACAGAGCAGCAGAGAGGGTAAGAAGCAAAAGGTAGAGCAGCAGATCAGGCAGGGGAAGGAGAATGGATGACACTCGGGGAGGGTGTACAGCTAATTTGGGTTATGCCTGCCCAAAAGGTTGACTGCCTTACACTGACTAGCTCCCATAATTTTCAAGGCTTCAGATAGCAGCCATTTGATAGATTTTTCCACTTTGCTCTTGCTGGTACAGTCAAATGGGATGCAATTAAGTTACAAAGGAGGCAGTGGGGCTCAAAAATGCTTTGGGCTTAAGTGATTAATACACTTTACTCATATACAGAAAACCAATGTAAACAATAGGCAACAAATTAGGACCAGCATTATATATTAAACGGTTAGATGAATTATGCTCTTATCTGGCAGGCCAAGAAAAGTTACTGTCCAAAATACAGCTTGCATTTCTGAAAGCACCATTCATTCATAGCCACTAGTATCTAGGACTCTTTGCTGACTAGACAGTGACTGAGAAAACGATATACTTTAAAAAGGAAATGTCTGTCAGGAATCTATAAGTGGAGCACTGCATTCCAAAGGAGTCAGATCATAATTTTGCATGTGAAACATTGAAAAAGAGGAATTTTTATAAGGAAACCTCTGGTGAGATTTCATACCGCACATCACTGGGGTAAGTGACAGGAGGGTTTGGGCTAACTGAAGTAAAAACAACAAACAGCACACCCCTAAGCTCTGGTGAGTTTTAATGGATTATAAGTGGCTAGGATTATCCCTGCACATGTATCATTGCTCTGGCCCTGATATGGAGACTGGAATAAGTCTATCTCATTGGAGCCATTCTGGCAAGGTATCCCTGCCATGTGCCCTTAGGAAGGGGGGGGGGCAAAATATGGATCCAGCCTGCCAGGCCATTCTATCTGGCCCACTGGGCTCCTCCAAAAAATTATTACCAGCCTGCAGCTGCCCTTCTGAAAGCCAGCAGGAGGCAGACTTTCAGAGGTCATGCACCACCAAAATGGGCAGGCTCTGTGCTTCCACCTGCTACTGCTGCTGTCCATGGCGGAGGCTGTATGCCATGGGGGAGGAGGCACACATACCCATACCCCTTCAGAAACCCCACACCAACCCACAAATCCCACACACATACCCACCAACCACATCCCACGCCCCTCTACACACAATATAGAAGAGTAAGACTTTATATGAGCTATTATGCAGCCACCTTTATATATACTGTGCAAAAACACATAAATCAGGGCCAAAATATTTTTTTAAATAAAATTAAAATGTGTTATAGTAGATGTTTGATTTGAGTATACAATTTGGTTTTTTTCTGGTTCCAAGATAGCAACCTCCCCTCCCAGAAGAATTACTTCCATGGGAAGGGTGGGGGGAGAGAGACAACATGGATGACTTCTGGTGACAAACGTCAGAGGCTAGGGGCTTCCAGTCCCAAGATGGTGATTAGGGCAACATTTCCCAACCGGTGTGCCATGGCACACTGGTTCACTGTCAGGCACATCCAGGTGTGCCATGGCATTATAGCCTGGAGCTATACCCCCTGCCTGCTGCTGCTGCAGACACAGACCGATGGGAAGCGTGGTTCCAGCCAGCCAGGGGGCATAGCTCCAGCCCAAAATGCCATCCAACTGGCCACGTGCCCTCCCTCCCACCCCCAGGTCAGCGTCTGGCTGG